AGCTTGATCTATTATTTACAAATAAAGCATTGTTTCAGTACTACGGTACAGTATCAGACAGTTGATTTACAGTTTAAAAGTTTGGGGTTGGTAAGTTTTTTGGTAATGATTGGTAGTGTTTTTAAAATAATTTTTCTTTTCACACTATTTGATCAAAAATTCTGTAAAAACAGTAATATATGTAATTACGATTTAAAATAACTGTTTTCTATTTTAACATACGTATTTTAAATCTAAATTACTCCTGTGATGGCAAAGCCAAATTATCAGCAGCCATTACTCCAGTGTCACATGATCCTTCAGAAATCATTTTAATATGCTGATTTGCTGCTCAAGAAACACTTCTTATTATTTTCAGTGTTGAAAACAGTTGTGCTGCTTAATATTTTTGTGAAAACCGTGATAATTTTGTGATAATCCATAGCCAAGATAACTTTCAAAAGTCAGGTAGGTCTTACAAGTTTCAATAGGCAGCATACCTAATAGCATGATCCAATAATAATAATCATAATAATAATGTTGTTGTTGTTATCATTACTGACTATTATTATGCTACCTAATAACAATACCTAATAGCATTATGCAACCCATGATGGAGTTCAAAAGTGATCTGGGTCAGATTGGTTTTGGGTCAAGTGCTACATTCCATTTAAAGTAACTGATCTTTGAAAAATTGAACTGCTCGCTGTAACACATTTAATCACACTTGGAATGTTCAGGGGATCAAAGCAGGGGGCATCAACAACAGCTCAAGACCGCTGTAAGGGCTGCTGATGCCAAATATCCCATATAAATAGCTCCAGAAGACTACAGGAAACTACAAAGCACTGACAATTTTGAGCTGACATATGCTTTTACTCCACAATAAAAACACACCACAGCACAAGCAACAGGGTTCAAGCTCCTGTGGGGTTATCACTGAGGAAGTGCTGGTAGGAAAGGGCCCTCTCTCAGAACAATACTATCTGACAGCTCTGAAGCTGCTCTGCCCACTTCTCCTTGGTCACATGGCCCCATGACTTACTACTAACAGTGGCATGTTTAGTGCTCGGCTTGATACACCGTAAGGCTAGATGACTCACTATGGAGCAAATGAGTGGCTGTGCTTTTCCATCTCAGGAGTGGCAAACAATGAGGAGCCACACATACACATTAAAATGAAATAACTCAAGACACAAAAATGCCTCGCTAGCACTCAGTGCTAATCTAAAAAAAGGACTCCTACGTTTGTCCACAATACATTTCATAAACTACCCCTGTAAAATGCAAACATGTGTAGACTAAATGACCACCCACAATTCATGTGGGTTTAGTTTCAAGCTTTGAATAAATCGAGAGTTTGCTAATATGGTTCTGTCATTTTATTTTAAATTGTCCTGTAAGCTGTAAATATGTCACATGTAATATTACATTTAAAGGTGAAGTTTGTCATTTTTCTGATGCTAAAATATTTTATCCTCTCCAAGTTTAATATTATCCTGTTTCTTTGAACGTTTTAATATGTAAAGTTCTGGCTCACCTAATGGTGTCAAGTCAAGTCAAGTCACCTTTATTTATATAGCGCTTTTAACAATACAGATTGTGTCAAAGCAACTGAACAGCATTAATTAGGAAAATAGTGTGTCAATAATGCAAAATGACAATAGTAAACACTCATTTTTCAGTTAAAGACAGTTCATCATTGAATTCAGTGATGTCATCATCCAGCTCAGTTCAGTTTAAATAGTATCTTTGCAATCATTTGCAATCAAGTCAACGATATCCCTGGAAATGAAGTGTCCCCAACTAAGCAAGCCAGAGGCGACATTGGGGGAGGGACATTCTTATTAAAGGGGTCATATGATGCGATTTAAATTTTTCCTTTCTCTTTGGAGTGTTACAAGCTCTTGGTGCATAAAGAAGATCTGTAAAGTTGCAAATGGTGTAAGTAACATTAACTAAGCTTACAAACATAAAAAGGCACTTTTAAAGGAATAGTCCACCCAAACTTTTTTTTTTTTAAATCTGTCATTTTCTCACCTTCATGTCATTCCAAACCTGTATGACTTTTCACTTCTGCAGAACACAAAAGAAGATATTTTTAAATATGTCTCAGTGCTTTTTTGTCCATATCAAACGAGTACAATGCTGTTTTGGACTAGGGCTGCACGATAAATCGCATGCGATATTTAATGCGCATCTTATCAGTAAAGCCGGTTCTGTAATCAGCGGTAAATCTCCATCACCTGCGTGCTTTCACATTGAGCAGCATTAACTACACAGAGCCGTTGTTCACTGACGAGCAGCGCAAAAAATCGCGCGAATATGGACGTAGTTTTGGGCAACAACTCGTCAGTGAACAACGGCTCTGTGTAGTTAATGCTGCTCAATGTGAAAGCCCGCAGGTGATGGAGATTTACCGCTGATTACAGAACCGGCTTTCTGACAAGATGCGCGTTAAATATCGCATGCGATTTATCGTGCAGCCCTATTTTGGACCCCACTGACTTTCATTATATAGATAACCCAGTCAAAACATTCTTCAGAATATCTTCTTTTGTGTTCTACAGAAGTGAGAAAGTCCTATATAAGTAACAGAATGATGACAGGATTTACATTTTTAGGTGAACTATCCCTTTAACACCTCTGCTGGTCGCAAGACCAAATTGTAAGCAAAGAGAGACAATGGCTCGGTCTATACAGAGCAGTGGCTACAGTGTCTTCCCATCTGCAGTGTTTAAGGCGGTGCTGGTGTAAATCAAAGCCGCAGAGGCAGTCATTGGAAGAACCGCTCTGACATTACTGTGGACAGGCTGAGGAGAGACAAGATCTGCTCTCGCTGAGGGCTGGATATACTGCAGGCCGCAACCGCACACACACACCACAGGTTGGCTCTGAGGATGCCCTCACTGGAGAACAACCTTCTACACTGCACACGCTATCCACCCCCTTCATGTCTACCTCATGTTCCCACCCAAGTCCACGCACAGCACATTTTACAACCACAACCACTGAGAAATGCAGATTACTGTCTGTTCTTTCTCACATTATTTTATTAACCTTCAGATTTACAAATCCAATGAAATTGCTTGTTGAGCAGGTTCTTCCCATGTTGTATTGTTTTTTTGTATTTCAACAGGAAGTTTTTAGCAGGAAACTACTTTTTCTGGCTTTTGTTAATGAAGTTGATTTGCTACTTGCTAGTTGTTTGGAGGAGGCAATGGGGGAGGGACATTCTTATTAAAGGGGTCATATGATGCGATTAAAATTTTTCCTTTCTCTTTGGAGTGTTACAAGCTCTTGGTGCATAAAG